AAAGACAAAAAGGAAAAAAAAAAAAAAAAGAAAGATGAATCTTTCCTCTCCCTTTGTTTTAATGGAATCGGCAATGTACCTGCTATACTCAGTCTCTTTTCTCAACTTTTTATGAAAAGTGACAAATATATATTTTACTATATTTGCTTTATCTCTGTATATCCCTACATACATACTAATGTATTTGATCATTTGAAAGTTAGACATCATGACACTTTACCCCTAAATACTTCAACATGCCTAAGAATAAGATTTTTCTCCTATAGAACCATAATAGCATTATCAGTCCTAAAAGAAAAATCAATTCCATAATATCTAATAACTACTCTTATTCCAATTTTCTCATTTATCCTAAGAATGTTTTTTTTTTTTTTCCTTTTTGTCTTTTTTCGTGAACGGCAACGGATCGCAACCCTCAGTGTCGCGCCCGTACCGGACCAGGACCGGCTACGGGATTGCAACCCTCGGTGTTGCACCCACACCTCGCTCAGCCAGTGAACGGCCGGTCTGTATGTGGGATTCGAACCCTCGGCGGGAGCGCTGCCACCACGCTCCCAAGCGGCGCACTGTAGCAGTGCGCCACCGGGCCGGCCCCTAAGAATGTCTTTTATAGTGCTTTTTTTCAAACTAGGATCCAGACTTCCAATTTTCAATTTGGTTATACCTCCTCGGGCTTTTTTAATCTAGAAGAGTCCTCCCACTTTTTTTTTTTTTTTTCTTTCCCCCTCATGCCTTTGACTGTTGGAAGAGTCTAGCCAATCTTGTAGAATGTCCCACATTCTGGATTTGTCTGGTTATTTCCTCAGAGGTCCTTTTACTCATTTATTTCCTGTACACCAGATGTTAGGTCCAGAAGCTCAATTAGCAAGAATTCTTCACTGACGGGCTGTGTTCTTTATATTGCATCTTCAGGAGGCACACGATGGCAGCAGATCCTATTCTTAGTGGATCACTCAATTTAGGTAGTAAATGTTGGACTGCTCCACTGTCCAGGGCACTCTTCCCTTGGCAGTGGAAGTCATCTGCCCTGTGATACTCTGGCAGCATGCAAATGGCCTCTTCCCAGTTGGCATCCATAGATTTTTGCCCGAGTCAGTGAATACACCGCAGTATGCAAAATGGTGACTTTCTCTTCTTTCCTTCTACATTTAGTAGTTGGTATTTGTCTATTTAAAAAAAAAAAAAAAAAAGCTCTCCTTTTCCCCCAACATGTGTGTGTGTGCCTCAATATGGATTTATGATTTTTTAATTCAGGGTGTTACAATCAGCCTTAGTCATTACTTTCAAATTGTCTCAAATGTGGGCACTGTGAGCCTCTTCAAGCTGACTGTGTCTTTTGACATGATTTTGTAAGTCTTTGAGCATTCCCTTGCTTTCTGGCACAGGGAGTCCTAGCTTACTCTGTACTTTCCCTGCACTAGAACTGGAAATGTTTATCTTAGTGAGGACTAGGATTTATAGGTGAAGATCTGGGAACCCTTTTCACTTACCATCTACCTTGGTGATTATTCTTCATCAGTACATATGGACCTGCTTCAGTCTTTTTAACAATTATGTAGTGCAACCCTCATTTATTTGACCAGTGCCTTCTAATGGATATTGATACTGTCCTACAAACATAGCAAGAAATCTTTGGTTCTGAAAACAATGCTGGAGAAATGGCCATACAAAGCATCTTTGTGCACATGGGAGCTTAACTGTAGCATAAATTCCCAGCAGTGGAATTGCTGGGCCAAAGGGTATGGTGGATATTTCCATTCTGACATTGCCTAATTGCCCTGCAAGGGGCAGGAAGCTTGTCTGTGGTGTTCATAGCCATGTTTCCAGCACCAAGAACAGCGCCTGGTACAAGTTGTTTGGTATTTGTCAAGTAAATGAATTCTCACTCTGGTAACCGGGCAGGTGCACCCAAGGTCAGCTCGCCCCTGTAACCTGCCCGTGACCAGGGCCCAGATCCACTCTGACTGTGGCTCCTTGCCCCCTTCAGGTATTCCACTGCATGAGCATTGCCATCTTGGTCTTTTTTATGATGGAGATTTTCTTTAAAATATTTGCCTTCCGCCTGGAGTTCTTTCACCACAAGTTTGAAATCCTGGATGCCGTCGTGGTGGTGGTCTCGTTCATCCTCGACATTGTCCTCCTTTTCCGGGAGCACGAGTTTGAGGCTCTGGGCCTGTTGATTCTCCTCCGGCTGTGGCGGGTGGTGCGCATCATCAATGGTACGTCTCCGGCACTGCGGGTTGTGGGTGTGAGGCCCAGCCCGACAAACACATGGTTTCCCATTACAGCCATGGCCGCCACCTTCTCCTTCCCACCCCTTATCCCCTAGTCTAGAGAACAATGAAGTGGCGTGATCTGGCATCCCATTGCCTCCTCTGTGGCTACACATGGAGACCAGGATGTGTGCTCTGAGAGGAGCAACCTTTCTCCTTTAGGCCATACTTTCATGGTTACTAAATGATATTTATGGCAAAGTTTAGACTGATCCCTGATTAGACCCTCCTCCTTTTTCCCAGAGCATCTTTGTTTTTAACTTGATATTTCCTGAAAAGGATTCTACCACACCCTGGCCCACCTTGGGTGGGCATCATCCAAAAGGGGTGTCGTGAGCTGTGATATGCTCTGCACGGGATTCTGCCACCTTTGAGGAAGTCACCACACACATTAGCATTAGCAGGAGGAGGGCTCTGAGAACTCGAATAGTTTCCACATTAACCACTGTGACAGTCTTGGGAGGAGATAACACTTATTAACGTGCCATAGACTCTGGCTCTGGGGAACGCACTTGGGGAAATACCACTTTTCCACATTTCAGGTAAAAATCCTGTTCCTCACACACACCCTGCATGTGGTACAGGGCCTCCATTTCAGAGAAGCCATGCTTCTGTTGTGATTTCATGTGGACATAGTGACCACCAGCTGGTTAGCTATTCTGCTGGCAGTGACCTAGTCAGAGTTGCTCAGATGCCTGCTGGGGAGGTGCTGCATCAGAGTCACCTTCAAAGCTTTTTTTAAAAACCCGTGTAGAGGGCCTGGGGTGGAGCGTCCAGGCAGGTGTTTATTTCTGAAGCACTCCTAGGTTATTTGGGTGCCCAGCCAGGTTTGGGAATCCTCAGACTAGGGCCCAACATAACAGGTGTGGATCATCGTCCAAAGGTGAGGGAGCCACAGTGTGGCCTGGTTAGGCAGGTGCGTCCTCTGACCACAAACTCCATCCCTTGGTGACCTAGTGAGGAGCCGCATGTGCAGTGGGTGAAGGGCCAGGTCTGCTTCGGAGGTAGAGCTGAGGTGGTATTCGTGCACACCATGCTACACAGCCGTACCACGCACCAGTACCATCGTGAACAGTTCTGTGTTAAGGAGCTTAATGCTCATCTTGTGAATATGTTTAAGGATTTCTGAGCTGAAAAGAAATATTGCATAACTGGGTACTGAGTAGCTCAGAAATGAAAAATGTTACCCTCCTAGTTCTGAAGCCTCTAAGTAATG